GTAGTTGTTGGGTTGAATGCTCTATATATATCTATAAGGTCTAGTTGGTTAATTATGTTGTTTAGCTCTTCTGTGTCTTTGTCAAGTTTCTTTCTGGTTGTTCTGTCCATTTTTGAGAGTGGTGTATTAAAGTCTCCCACTATTCCTAGAACACTTTTAATGTAGAGATTATGCATTGTACTGCTAACTGTGAAAGGTCAGCAGTTCGAATCAACCATGTGGTCTGAGGGAAAAAGATGGGACTTCCTGTTCCCGTAAACATTTACTTACTGCCTTGGAAACCTGATACACATCACTAGGCGTTGGAACAACTTGATGGCACACCACCACTAAACCTAGAATGATTTGGGACTGATTGTATAATCTCCAAGAGTATTATTATTCTCACTTGTAAAGTGGGTATGATAATTAATATTGTTGATTCTTTTTCTCTTACCTTCTTCTCTCTTCTAGTTACTGAATTCCATTTAGTTGTCATTTATTATCTTTCTAAAATTAAAACAAAACAAAACAAAAATGATTATGAGAAGAAGAACTTTCTTATTCACATTTTTTTTTTTTTTCAAATGACTCATAGAACAAAGAAAAAAAGACAGTCTAGTTGGCAACCAAGACATATTTGTATGGGAGGAGCCATGAGTGATGTGATACACTGTGCATTGGTTAAATGGGGTGTGTGCTGGGGAACTAGAGGCAAATGACTGTGTAAACTGTTGGTAGGCTGGCTCCCTGACATCCGTGACTTATGTGTCTTTCCCTTGCAGTTCCTGAGAGAAGACCTCAATTACCATGACCCAACAGTGAAGCACAGTACGTTCCATGGTGAGGATAAGCTCATCAGCGTGGAGGATCTCTGGAAAGCATGGAAGTCCTCAGAAGGTAATAGGCAGTTCGGTTTTTCCATCCTGACTGCTGGACAATATAGAGAAGATGGACAGCAACTTGGCCTTAAAAGAACATGAGTCTAAAATGATTAGTAAAGGGGAAATTATTGAAATAATTTCTACATAATTTTCTACATGAATAAGACTGGATGTAGTTGTCGTGCTGGGAATTGGGGAAGGTACTCCAAACAGACCAGGTCTGTGAAGTTGTTCTTCATTAGACTGCTTTTTAAATCTCATCCTAACCCTATTCTTGAATATTGGTGTGGTACTGTAAGATAAAGGAGCCCTGGTAGCATTGTGCGTTACGAGCTAGACTGCTAACCTTAAGGTCAGTAGTTTGAATCTGCCAGTCGATCCATGGGAGAAAGATGAGGCTTTCTGCTCCCGTAAAGATTTTAGCCTTGGAAAACCTATACAGGGTCGATATGAGTTGGAACTGACCTGGTGGCACACAACCACCAACCACCACTGTAGGATAAGCACTGGACTGTTAAATGCAAGGTCAGTGGTTCAAACCCTCCATCTGCTCCTCATAAATCCTATATAGGTTCTCTGTGAGTCAGAACCAACTCGATGGCACTTAATAATATAACAACAACGCTATTCTCTCTTTCCCTACCCCATATAGGAACTCTCCAGTTTCTGCTACTTCACTTTCAATGATAGTTGAGCTTTCTGGCCACTTAACCTCAGCTCTTCTGAGTCTGAGATGATTCGAAGATTGGGTGGAAGTACAGATAGACTTTTCCCCCGAATATTTTCTTTTTCAGGCTACATAATCCTGGTTTGTTCTTTGAGGAAAGTATATTTTCTCAGCCACCTCCTCATCTTGGTTTCCTGCCTGCAAACACTTTTGTGAATGTATTTCTTACATTATGACTCCTAGAATTGGATGTAGAGAGAGCCTCAGGTGTGGTTTGATCAGCAAAAAGTTGAGCAGTACTCTCAACTACTTGGTTTTGGACCCTGTAAACATCTGTTAATGCAATTCGATTATGTTTAACTTACTATTAATGAAAACTTTATATGTTTTTTTTCATATGTTAAACTGCTGAATCATGCAACCACCACCTTTGCGAACACTTCCCCGCAATTTTAAAAGACTTTTTATTGTGAAATGAGTCAAGGTTTACAGAACAGATCATCAGTCCCATATGCAACAAATCATACACTTCGTGACATTAGAATGATTGCAATCCACTCCATGTACCATCAGTGAACAGTGTTTACCTCTATTCACTTTAACTCTTATACTCTTCCTGTGTCTTCCACTGCCTTCGTTTTCCTTTGCCAATCTCCCTCTAGTTGTATATTGCCTTCCCCATCACCTTCTACCCAGTGAATAATTTCTCCCTTCCACCATAATAGAATGTTTCTTTTAGCAAGAAAATCTTTTCCTAATTTTTTTTTTTTTTTTACAACAGTGGTCTCATACAATATTTGCCCTTATTAATTTAACTCAGCATAGTGTCCTCCAGGTTTATCCATGTTGTGAGGTGTTTCACAGATGCATCACTATTCTTCAACATTGCGTAGTATTCCATTGTACGTATGTACCAAAGTTTGTTTAACCATTCTTCTGTTGATGGATGTTTAGAACGTCTCTGTCTTTTTGCTATTATGAATAGTGCTGTTATGAACATGGGTGTGCATATGTCTATTTGTGTCTTGGCTCTCAGTTATTGAGGATATATACCAAGTAGAGGAGCTCTGGTAGCGTAGTGGTTACGAATCGGGCTGCAAACTGCAAGGTCAGCAGTTTGAAACTACCAGCTGTTCCACAGGAGAAAGATGAGCCTTTCTTCTCCCGTAAAGATTTACAGCCTCGGAAACCCTGTGCAGGGTCGCTATGAGTCGGAACCAACTCTATGGCATATAACAACAACAACAACCAAGTAGAGGCATTGCTGGGTTAGATGGTATTTCTATTTCCAACTTTTTGAGACAGTACCATATCATTTTCCACAGTGTTTACACCATTTTACAGTCTGACCAGCAGTGTCGGAGTGTTTCAGTCTCTCCACACCCACACCAGCATTTGTTGTTTTCTGTTTTTTTTTTTAACTTTGTTATCAATGTTGGGATGAGGTGATATCTCATTGTTTTGATTTGCATCTCTCTAATGACTAGTGATCTCAAGCATTTCTTCAGATGTTTGCTGGCCTCTTGAATGTCTTCTTTAGTGAAGTGTCTGTTCTTATCTTCTACCCATTTTTTAATTGGATTATTTGTCTTTATGCTTTTGATGAAATCTTTTGATGCACACTAGTGTCTAATTTTTAGGAGGTCCCAGTCATCAATTTATTTTTTGCTGTTTGTGTGTTTTCAGTTATGATTGATAATGTAATAGGTTTTGAGATTGGGAAATGAGGGCCCCTACTTTGTTCTTCTTCTTTTAGTTGTTGTTAAGTGCCATCGAGTTGGTTCTAACTCATAGCAACCCTGTAAAGGGTTTCTGAGGAGCAACTGGTGAGCTTGAACCACTGACCTTGCAGTTCAAATGGCTTTGCAGTCTGGCGCATTAACCCACAGCACCACACCAGGACTCCATCAAGGGAGATGAGTAGAGCTTTGCTTATCCAGGGTGTCTTTCCCCAGATAAATTAGTGATTAGTTTTTCTCTCTGTTTAAAGAATGATGTTGGAATCTGGGTTAGGATTGCATTATACCTATAGATTGCCTTGGGTTGTAGTGGTGATGGTATTGTGTTGTGGAGTTGATTCTGACAGTGACCCTGTATATGGTTTCTGTGGCTGTAAATCTTTATGGGAGCAGAAAGTCTCATCTTTCTCCTGTGGAGCAGCTGGTAGATTTGAACTGCTGACCTTGTGGTTAGCAGTTTAACTAGTAATCCACAATGCTACCAGAGTTCTTTATATTGTCTTTGGTAGTGTTGACATTTTCACAATGTTAATTAAGTCTTTCTCTCCATGAGCATGATGTATTCTTCTATTTTTGTAGATCTCTTTTGCTTTCTTGTAGTACTGTTTTATAGTTTTCTTTGTTATAGGTCTTTTGTTTCTCTAGTTAGATTTAGTCCTAAGTATTTGATCTTTTGCGTGGCTATTGTAAATGGTATTGCTTTCCTGATTTCCTTTTCATATTTCATAGCTGTCTTGACTAGTGTAAGAAATCCAACTGAATTTTTTTTTTTAAGGTTCTTATTGTGGATTGAGTGAAAGTTTACAAAGCAGATCATCAGTTTTACAGTCAACAAATCATACACTTTGTTTCATTACAATGATTATAATCCCCTCCATGTACCATCAGTTAATAGTATTTCTCTCTGTTCACTTTAGCTCTCTTTTTTTTTTGAACACTTAGGCATATATAATAATTTATACCACCAAAAGGCACATTCTGCAAGTCTGCCTCCTGGCTGCCATCTCTAGTCCCTCTCTTTCCATGAGTTTAGAGTCCTCAGCTGCTAACTCTCTCCATGTTCCCATCTCTGCCTTCATCTCTGGTGTCGCTGCTTCTCTGGATAAGGTCTCGCATTCTGCTTGTGTGCATCTCTCTTGATAGTCCTAGGGTCCTTTGTTTCTTGACTGTAAGATTAACTACTCCCCTGTTTTTGTTATAAAACTTCTACCTTTACAATTGTGACAGTCACAATTAATCATAATAACACTCACTATTGAATCATAAGAATCTTATCCCCATCTCTTTTAACCAGACACATCTGATTAATCCAACTGATTTTTGTATGTTGATCTTGTACCCTGCCACTTTGCAGAATCTTTCAACGTGTTCCAAAAATATTCTTTCTGAGTCTTTGAGATTTGCTATGTATAGGATCATATAGAGACAGTTTTATTTCTTTTTTTTTTTTTCTTAAATGTTTTATTGTGAATGATGTGATAGTTTACATGGGAGAACATTAACTTTACATTCATTCTATCATATATCGTCTCAATGCCATGGTTACAATCCCCTCCATGCATAATCAACCAACCAAAGGGTATACCCTGCAATCCTACCCCCCAGGTCTTCAGTACAAAGTCGCTGTCCCTCTCTGGATCTAAAGTCTCCAGCTGCTCCATTGCTCCACATCATCATCTCTGCCTCCATTTCAGGCATCACTGCTTCTCTGGCTAGGGTCCCGCTCTCCGCTTTTCTCCCTTGATGGTCCTAGGGACCTCTGCTCCTAGACTGAAAAGTTAATCACTCCCCTCCTTGCTATAAAACGTCTACCTT